ACCACCAGAGCAGCTCTTCCTTCCTAGATGGATTGCAGTCTGCCTCACAAAGGACAGCTGCTTGTTACAGTTTTATGTGGTGCAGTAACTAATACATTTCCAGAGCAATGTAAAGCCGTTCTTCTGTTCATTCATGTTTCCAAGTTGCAGTGTATTGTGATCTACTTTGCGTAGGGCACATAATACATTAATTAGAGCTAAAATTACGTGACTGCAATACATTGGCAGCTGCTACTTTGTTAGTGACAGGCTGAGCTCACTTGGCAGCGGAAGACAGCCTTGAGCTGTCTTAAAGACAGGCTAATGAAAGCCAAAGAAAAAAGAGAAGCTCTGTTCATGTAATGCAGCAGTAAATACAGTACTAGTTACATCAACTGAAAATTAACACTTCTGCTTTCCATGTCATTTCAAGAGTTAATGGTCTAGATAGGGGAACTGTTATTTGGCTTGTGGTCATGATTAGAGGGGCAGCAGTAGTGAGAGAAGGCAGAGCTGATGGAAAGATAAAGAATAAATGCAAACAAAACACTTTAAATATTTACACTATTAAAAAATAAGGGCTCATTTAATAGTCCTCATAAGAGAATATAAATAGATACGCAATTTACATCACAAGAGATTACAATCCTGTGAAGAGAGTTTTATACAAAAGATAAAACTTAAGAACTTGTTTTTCTGAAATCCATACGCATCTCCCTGTGGTAGCTTGTAGTGATTGGCAGGCCTGAAGAAACCATGCAGTCTTTTAGCATATGTGAATTAGAGCCAGTGCTTCATCCAGTTCAGGGTCCTGTCTCTGACCGGAGCCAGTAACAGATGCTTCAGAAGGAGATGCAAGAATCCCTATAATGGCTAATGGGGGTGCGGGGAATCTGTCCATTAGGGAAATTTCTTCTCAACCACAAGTAATGGGAGTAACTTTATTATTATTTAGTGTCCAAAGTGTGTTAGGCACTTTATAAAACTGCTAGGCAGTATATATTACCCTGCTGCTTCTCTGCTCTGGGGCCCTGCCCTCTTGGCTCCACGCTGTTGCCTTCTTGGTCCATCAGCCTCCCATACTGAATTCATTACTTGTGCTTATGAGACAGGTACACGCAACCAACCAAACAGAAGACACTTCCAAAGGTAGTCTCTGGGGCTTCCCCTTGTGTCCTTAAGCAACTCCTGCTGCCGGCTGGAGTAAGCCCGTATGGGTATGTCCGCCAAGCCTCCTAGCCCAGGTAGATAGACTCACACTAGTGGGGCTCAACCTGGGACGCTACAAACATCTGTTTGGACTCTGCAGCTCTGGCAGAGACTTGGGCTAGCCACCTGAGCTCAAGCCTGGGGGGATGTGACGTTATTTAATTAGAATACGACCATGCAAATCATTGTTGCTTCCACTGTTATATAATTGCAACAAATCTTATACAAAGCGCAATACATAGCCAGAAAGGGTTAAGCATCCTGCAGGCTAAATGACCCAGAATCAACCAGTAGAGCCATGTTAGAAAAGTATATAAATGGTCATTAGGGCCACTCCTTGTTAGATAGGCTAGAACTTTGAAGTGCAAACCTGTATTGTTAGAGAATTGGAGGCGATGTTACCTGTGTGTGTGTATTTATATTGTGTTAGATGTTAGCCATGTAAACAGTTCCTCTCTGTCACTATAGCTATTAATTCAGAGATCAAAAGGAAATATTAACATTTAAATGAACTGTAAACATAGTAAATCACTGTATTCGTCTCTTTGAAATGTATAGCAAATCACCAGAGAATGGTGGGAAATGGGCAATTGCCTTATGTTAAGCTATATAGCTAATTATCAGTGATGCTTAGGAAATAGGTCTATTTCAAAGTCTCCATAATTGCCTATTGTGCACCTGAGGACTCCCAGCTGTCAAAGAAGACCTGGTACTATATAAGAATGTCTGGGGTCCTGATCCTTTTTATCTCAGATCTGCTTGATGCTTCGTGCAGGGGAAGCTTAAGCCAAAAGGCTAAGATCTTCAGTCCTAACCTTGAATCACCCTGAATATAAACATTGGACGATGACCTGTGAACTAATTCTGAAAGAACTCTTTGCAAATACAAAGCTCACCATCTCTACTATGAATCTGAATCTCAAAAACCATACTCATGTCTGTATGTATATGGTTCTTTTAACCAATACTCTCTCTTTTCTTTTTTAAGAAATTTTAGTTTAGTTAATTAGAATTGGCTGTAAGCGTGTATTTGGGTAAGAGCTGGAATATTCATTAATCTGGGAGGTAATGTGTCTGATCCTTTGGGATTGGTAGAACTTTCTTATGAATAAAATTTTCAGTAATCCTCATCATATTTGACTAGGGTGTCTGGGTGGAGGCCTAAAACTGGGTTGCTTTAAGGCTTCTGGGTAACCAGTAATGTATTAAAGAAGCTGTTTTGTACTGGTTTGTTAAATCTAAATATTGGAATATTCACCAGCTTTGGGGATTGTCTGCCCCATTCTTTGCGGTTCACCCTAACTGAGTAACTCCAGTGTGGCTCCCTGGGGCTCCGGCCACAGGGAGTTGAGCCACCTAGCCTGAATCACTGCTGGAGCCTCAACATCCACACCAATAATTTTAGTGCACTAGCTCAAAGCCTGCTAGCATGAGTCTGTCTACCTGAGTTGGGAGGCTTGCTCCCACCTGCAGTGTGGACATACCCTTTGTGGGGCCAGCTAGGAGTTGGAGGCAGGTTCTGGCTACATGACCTCTCCTACCCTTTCCCCACTGCCATGTCTCATGCCTCCTGGGCCTCTCGGGGGAACTGGTCTTTCATCCCCCGGTGCAAAGAATGCAATTGAACTTAGCCTGTGCATTTGAGGGAAAAGAAGGCTCCTGGCTCCCCTGCATGTGCACCCATGCACAGGCCAACCACAATAAAACAACCTGGGATGACAAACAAAGGGTCACAACAGTGTCAGATTAGAGATACTTCTTATTCTATTTGCATTTTATTGGGGTTTTTGTTTGTTTGTTTAACACTTTGTCTATATCTGGGGGGTGGGAGGGGGGAATCAGGATGTGGGCTGGGAGTGGATGTCAGTGATGAAATGGCAAGGCACAGTATAGCAATACATGTCATTGCTGGCAAGTCTCTCTCTAAAGTCTGATTATTAAAGACCTGTACTAGCAAAGGGCCCTGCTCTTGCAGAGCCAGGTGGGCAATTTGTCATTTGGCTTCAATGGGAGCAGCAGAAGACACAAAATTAACTTCTCTCCTGCTAGCTTCCTTTGCCTCGTTCATCCATCCACTCCCAGCTTGGTGTGATCTTTCACATACCCTGTACCCTTCAGAAAGCTCCCAGTTAATGTATTCTAAACTCCCTCCCTCTCCTCCTACACTTAAGGCTTTCCATCTATAGTGACCATATATAAGGTCCTACCTCATTCACAATATCGCAAAAATTGCAGATTCTGCAATATTAGGCTTTCACTGCAATTTCGTTTTAAATGAGCTTACTTTGCCCAGTTCACAATTTTGCATACATTTTGAGGTTTGCAACACACACTTTTCCCCCCATTAGTACATTAAATGATCTTGGAAAATTTTGGGATTCACCTGCAGTTGTACAGCATTTTCTAGAGACAGCAAAGGGATCACTTTTGATCTTGCCTAATTCTGTGGAGGCCGAGTGTGCAGTATTTCGGTACAGACAAGTCTTCACAAAGGAAAGACAGGGCATGAAGGAAACCACTATAGCAGGGTGTACTGCACTAACATTCAATGCCTGAAAAATGTAAATGGCTAAAGTGACTGGGCTCAATTTCTACAGCAGTTGTGTTAAGACTTTCAGTCTTCTGAATTTTATATTATACTGGTCACTTTTTTAAATGAATGTAATATAGATGCACCAAATTGTCTGGTTATCGAAAAAATTCACAGATATAACAATAGTTGAGTGTTTATATCATTCCAGCAATTTTTTCTTAAATAAGTCTATTGTGGCTTTTCCAAATTACCTCTATTAATAAAGGTCCATTATTACTTATCTGCGATTTTCCATGTCTTGCCTGCAACTCAGCTGCAATTATTTGAAGATCATCCTGTGATTCAGGTAGGGTCTTAACCATATACCATTTTCTTCATGGTAGTTCCTCCCACGTGCTTGCTGCTTGGTGTTTTTGGTGGGGATGTGGCAGAGCAGGGAGGGGCTGAAGCCAGTGTTTGCTGACCTGCAGCCTCCTTCCCCTTCAACCTTGAGTGGATTTTCCATCATGTTTTTGAACCTATCAGCATGCTATGCTGTTACTCCTCCTTCCCCCCAGCCAAGGATAGGTTTGGTATGGGTGGGGAGCCAATGGGAGTACTGCAGCACAGTATCAGGCTTCCACATTGTCTTGAGATCCATGGTGCAAGACCACAACCCTTGGCCGTACCAGTGGGAATAGGCTATGCTCCAAAGGGCTGATGTAAAGGAAAACTTGTGAGTCCCACTCCCTGGCCATTCTGCAGTCTCTCATGTAGAGATGATCTAGCTCACTGCCTGTAGCTAATTCAAACCATTTGTCTACAAATGTTATCCAGGTCTGAAGAAACATTCTGATTATGGATCTCTAGAGGGGACTAAAATCAGCCATTAAATAGTAATAAAAGAGTAGTTTGGTATCCATACAAGGAATCCTGTGAGCCAGATTTGAAAACTGTCCACTTCCTATCCTTTATTCTTGGCCTGTTTTCATTATACCTCTTATGTTTCCTTGTGCAAATAAAATGGCCCATCTCATGCAGGCTCCACAGAGTAAACATGCCTTGAGGACAATCTCATTGTCAGTCATTAACGAGCTGCCCTTTTTATAGCCATGACAAACTAGGACTAATTTTAGATTTCCATAGAGAAGGTGCCTCTTTTCTTATGCCTCATCATTTAACCACCTTTATATGATTTTGAAGCAAGCTTTGAGTCCTGAATCAACTGAGAACATTTATAGAGAGCAATAAACTAGAGACAAAGATATTTTATTGCTTTTATTTTTATTTTAGGATTGCTTTCATTTTTGGACAAGCATATTGGAAGCAGTATATTATCACCAATGAAAGATGCAGTCAAACAGAGTTTATCCACAATTCTAGGTAATCTATTCCTCCTAAATAGTTCAGTTACTGCTGTATATAAACTGCAAAATGAACCACATGTGACTCCATAGTCTCATGACTCACTAAAGAAAATGTTTTTCATCATTCTTATGACAGGGGGATGGAAACAAGAAAAGGCTGATCATGTGATGACTGCTCCAGTCCTTCACTCCTACACCAGAAAGATGGTTGTTAGCATTCCAGCACAGTTTTCCTGACCATTGTGGACAGCAATTTTTTCTCCAAACAATGGTATAAAAATCATGGAGTGTAGACATAGCCTGGCACTGGACAGATCTTCATTAGTATTGTTATAGCAGTTCCGCTTGCATGCACCTCCTGCTGTGCAACATGTATGCTTTCAGGAAGTACACTGCAATGTCTGGCAATGAATGTATCAACTGGGTGAATTAAGAATCCAGTCACTTGGAACGTTAAAGATCAAAGATATTGTATGGGGTTATTCCCAGGGAAGATGTCTGAATAGATCTCTCAGTTGAGGTTGATTTGTCACCAAATGAAGCTAGCAGTTCTTTAGGCATACAGGAGTGAAGGGCACATCCGTCTTCAACAGACAAGCACTGATGAAGTCAACCATGCACACAAGAGAATTAGAGGATCTGGAGAGAGTAGCAAAACTAGGTGGAAAGAAAGAAACAGTCCGGAACACAAAGTAGCCACAGCAGCAAGAGGGCCAGGAAGGTGAATTGCAGCAGTTTTTTATCCACACACATATTTGTATGTTTTGTGAATTTCCTGCTGAAGGAGGCTAAGTAATCCTGGATACCTCAAAGGAATTCTGAACTGTTAGAAACCCAACAAGCAGCACTGCTTGTATTGGTGGTAAGTTATTTGGATTCATTTGTTCTGTGGAACAGCTGCATGAAAGGGTGGTGAATACAGCTGGATGACAGACCTTTTCATAGCCAGCACAATTTTATGATATGTTAGCATTTTTATTTCACTGATACAAAATGTGGCCTTAGGGCTGGCATTCTCTTCACATACTGTATCTTTGAAATCCAGTTATTTTCTTGCACGCATCCTGGGATAATATGTTACGAATGAACCAACCCTTCCAGAACATTATCAGCCAGAGAATGATGGATGTCATGTAGCCCTTTTAGTATGTTTAATGTGCCAGCACTTCTCTACATTACACCGATCCTGGGACCTTTAGGCTGCTCTAAATTACACGGGCAGGAACAGTCTGTTGAAGACCATTCCTCTGGCTGGAGATTACTGGAGCATAACACACTCCAGTCATGTCTCATCATATCCCCACATTGCACCAATCACGTCCTCTATACCTGCTGGAGACAAGAGTGACTGGCTAGCAGAGAGCTGGCTATGATGGCTTTACACCATCCAATAATTCCCCTGTACCAGAGGGATCCCCAGCTGCCTCTATAAGGCAACTTTCCAGCTCCTGTGTGCTGTCTGAGCAGTGCAAAGCAGCCAGAAGGGTGACTGATGATCATTTTTATGATATCTCTGTCTCCTATCCCTTGTTTGTCCCTTGTCCTGGGAACAAAAATAAAAATGCCCAGTCAAAAGCTGGAACTAACATGTTCTGTCCCTTATCACTTCGGTATTATATTTTGTCCAGCTCTCCCTCACTTAATCTGGTTTTTGGTTTCATCCCAATCCTGCAAACACTTACACTCCTGTGTAACTTTACAGGATCGGGATCTTAGATTGTAAAATATGTGGGGCACTGACTCTCTCTCACTATGTGCTTATACAAGGCCCAATTTTGTTTGGCACCTTTGGGAATTGCCATCATGCAGTAATATAGAATATTAATGTTGGCAGAGTGGCCTGCATAGTTGAGGCCAAGCAATTTTAGAAACCAGTTTGACAGCAATGGACCTTAAAGTGGGGTTCTACTATGAAAAAAAGTACTATAAAAATGGTACCTACTTCCTTCCTTTGGGTATTCAGAGGCATATCTGCCCCATTTTAGTGGCTAAAATGAGTTTTCACTGCTTTTTACTCATGTTACCCTGCAGAGACAACACAGTTGACAGAGAAGCTGGATTCTATTCTAGCTTGTGCATTATTCACATAATTTTTTATTAAGTTGCAGATAGTTTCACCCAGCGATTATGACTGCAGGCATAATGTGACAACAATATGGCTTTGTAGATGTAGCTGAGGGTCTGATTTTGCCTGCAGAACCTTTATTATGGGTCCTAATGCATGCGAAGCAAATACCACAGCTTAACTCTTAGATCCCAATTGAGTTTTCAGGACTGGCAGTTAAAATATCTTTTTACTTGTAAATGGAGCACAGGTGCTATAGAAATCACTGAGACACAAACATGGAACCTCACACTGTCACTTAAAGGTCACTTTTCAGAGCAGATCTGACATCGACTGTGTTTAAATGTAGTTGTAAAGCCAGTGTAAAAGAGGTCTTAGACAGTCGTCTCCTCCATTACTGATGGACTCTCTTGAAATAACAGGGTTCAGGCCTGCTGCGACCTAGCAGAGTTTCTATAGTCAATACATTTCTATATTCTCAATGACTCTTTTCTTTTTTTTTAAACCACTGGATCAAATCAGCTATTTAACCCGTATTGCGGTTTTGTTTCCTGTAGGACCCAGAGATTTCTTCTGCTTCAACTGCAGTGTCGCGAGAGTGGTACACCCCATCACCATTTGTGGGAGAGGTGGAGGGGCATTCTGGTCTTGTGGGTTAGTATGAATGACTGCCCGTAATTTCAGGGCCATATGGCCTAATGTCTGGGGTTGACAAGGTGGCACTCCTATGCGGGGCTGTGCAGCTCAGTAGCCAGAGGCAATGGGGTTTCCCTCCCACATGGGACTGCGTGGCCTAATGGCTACAGTCAATATGACTGCCCTCTCTGTCAGGGCAGAATGGCCTAATGGCCAAAGCCCAAATAGTTGCCCTCCCGGTCAGGGCTGGGTGGCCTAATGGCCAGACTCCCTGTAGTTGCCCTCCCAGTCAGGGATGTGTGGCCTAATGCTGAGGTCAATAGGGCTTCCTCTGTCAGAGCTGTATGGCCTATCAGCCAGAGCCAATAGGGCTGCCCTTTCTGTCAGGGCTGTGTGGTCTAGTGGCCAGAGCCAATAGGGCTGTGTTGTATCAACCAGGCAAGGTACTAACAAGCTTCAACAGGACTTTATTTTCAAAGTGGAAACCTCTTTACCAAGCTGCTGCTGTACTCTCTGCAGCTTTCTCCCAGCCTCTCAACTCCTCCCCGCTCCTTTCTGTTTCCTGTCCTTTCAGACTCCCAACAGCCAGCGCTCCCAATTCTAATAATTACAAGCAACATCAAAACACCACAGGCTGCTCTTTCTGTCAGGGCTGTGAGGCCTAGCAGCTGATGGGTTGGAGGGAGAGGCTGCCACTTTGAAGTGGGTGGTGGCCAGGGTAGGAGGGCCCAGGCCCTGCCTTCTCCACTGGGTCCCAACCCAGGGCCCTGGTGGTGGCAGGGTTGCCCACCACCAGCTTGGCAGGGATCCTGCCAAAAAACTGCCACGCTAATCTCTGGTTCTACCACCCATTCCCCGTTAAATTCCTATGGGTTACTTCCTACCCGTTTCTCTGCAGATCGTCATCTTGGAGTTCATGGTCTCTCCTTCCCCTGTGGCCTCAGCAGCCTGAGGGCCATGGGTCACCACCATCTGGCTGGCCTCCAAATCCTGAAGTGTCAGCAGTCCTTCCACAGGAGCCTACACTGCACCGCACCTCCACTCCTTTTGGCAGTCAGCCCAGACTGAGCTGAGTTGCTCCTTATTATATCCTGGTTCCAACTGGAGCATGCTCAGCACAGCCAAGGGAGCATGGCCTCCTTTGCCCAGAGTAGGATTAACCCCTGCTGAACCAGTGTGGGGCTGGTACACCCCATCACATGCAGCAGGACAGAACTCTCAAATGGCTTTGAATTCTTAGCTTGGGAAAAAATGAAGTGGAACACACCAGTTCTGCATTTTAAATTAATAGGATTGTTAAAATATTAATAACATATTTGTAACAGCTGTGACTACTTGACATTCAAGCATGGAACCAGCAGGCAGTGCACAAAAAGTCACATGATGGTTGTGAAACAGCGGAAGAAATGCATTACCCAATGTGTTTGGAAAGAGGGTTCGGAGTGAGGCAGAGGTTGCCATTGCATGTCATCTGAGACCTTGTTAGGTTGCTTTAAATTATTCCAGGCCATTTTGATCTTCAACTGGCCCAGGAGTGGGAGGGAGGATAGAGTCTGTAATTTCTAAAACCTACATAATCATAATTGGCATAGATGCACAATGAATTATAATGATAGTACTTATGCATCTCAGTGCACTTTACAAACATTAATTAGCCTAAGATTTGTTCAGAATCGTTAGTAAAGCAAAGGGCTTGGGCTGTAGTTCCAATGCCATAAAAGTGTCATTAATCCTTGCAGAACAGAGGACTATTTATGAGGATGACTCATGTCTTGCCAAGCTAGAACTTCAGTGTGGTGTGTAGGTGACAGCAATAAACACTCCTGCTTTAAACATACTTCTCACAAGGGCATCAAATCTAGCAACAGGAAATGTAAATATCATTATGTAAAGTGAAAAGGAGTACTTGTGGCACCTTAGAGACTAACGAATTTATTTGAGCATAAGCTTTCGTGAGCTACCGCTCACTTCATCGGATGCATGCAGTGGAAAATACAGTGGGGAGATTTATATACACAGAGTACATGAAACAATGGGTGTTACCATACACACTGTAATGAGAGTGATCACTTAAGGTGAGCTATTACCAGCAGGAGAGCGGGGGGGAGGGGGAACCTTTTGTAGTGATAATCAAGGTGGGCCATTTCCAACAGTTGACAAGAACGTCTGAGGAACAGTGGGGGGTGGGGGGTGTTTGTCTCTGTCTATTTCACATTTGGGGTCAATGTATACCTTCAAATCAGCGGCACTGCTATGGGTACCCACATGGCACCACGGTATGCCAACATTTTTACGGCTGACTTAGAACAACGCTTCCTCAGCTCTCGTCCCCTAATGCCCCTACTCTACTTGCGCTACATTGATGACATCGTCATCATCTGGACCCATGGAAAAGAAGCCCTTGAGGAATTCCACCATGATTTCAACAATTTCCATCCCACCATCAATCTCAGCCTGGACCAGTCCACACAAGAGATCCACTTCCTGGACACTACGGTGCTAATAAGCGATGGTCACATAAACACACACATAAACACCTATACTGGAAACCTACTGACGGCTATTCCTACCTACATACCTCCAGCTTTCATCCAGACCACACCACACGATCCATTGTCTACAGCCAAGCTCTACGATACAACCTCATTTGCTCCAACCCCTCAGACAGAGACAAACACCTACAAGATCTCTATCAAACATTCTTACAACTACAATATCCACCTGCTGAAGTGAGGAAACAGATTGACAGAGCCAGAAGAGTACCCAGAAGTCACCTACTACAGGACAGGCCCAACAAAGAAAGTAACATAACGCCACTAGCCATCACCTTCAGCCCCCAACTAAAACCTCTCCAACGCATCATCAAGGATCTACAACCTATCCTGAAGGACGACCCATCACTCTCACAGATCTTGGGAGACAGGCCAGTCCTTGCTTGCAGACAGCCCCCCAACCTGAAGCAAATACTCACCAGCAACCACACACCACACAACAGAACCACTAACCCAGGAACCTATCCTTGCAACAAAGCCCGTTGCCAACTGTGCCCACATATCTATTCAGGGGACACCATCATAGGGCCTAATCACATCAGCTACACTATCAGAGGCTCGTTCACCTGCATATCTACCAATGTGATATATGCCATCATGTGCCAGCAATGCCCCTCTGCCATGTACACTGGCCAAACTGGACAGTCTCTACGTAAAAGAATAAATGGACGCAAATCAGACATCAAGAATTATAACATTCAAAAGCCAGTCGGAGAATACTTCAATCTCTTTGGTCACTCGATTACAGACCTAAAAGTTGCAATTCTTCAACAGAAACACTTCAAAAACAGACTCCAAGGAGAAACTGCTGAATTGGAATTAATTTGCAAACTGGATACAATTAACTTAGGCTTGAATAGAGACTGCAGCAGCTCTCCTGCTGGTAATAGCTCACCTTAAGTGATCACTCTCATTACAGTGTGTATGGTAACACCCATTGTTTCATGTTCTCTATGTATATAGGTTTCAGAGTAACAGCCGTGTTAGTCTGTATTCGCAAAAAGAAAAGGAGTACTTGTAGCACCTTAGAGACTAACCAATTCATTTGAGCATGAGCTTTCGTGAGCTACAGCTCACTTCATCAGATGTATACCGTGGAAACTGCAGCAGACTTTATATACACACAGAGATCATGAAACAATACCTCCTCCCACCCCACTGTCCTGCTGGTAATAGCTTATCTAAAGTGATCATCAGGTGGGCCATTTCCAGCACAAATCCAGGTTTTCTCACCCTCCACCCCCCCCACACAAATTCACTCTCCTGCTGGTGCTAGCCCATCCAAAGTGACACTTTGGATGGGCTAGCACCAGCAGGAGAGTGAATTTGTGTGGGGGGTGGAGGGTGAGAAAACCTGGATTTGTGCTGGAAATGGCCCACCTGATGATCACTTTAGATAAGCTATTACCAGCAGGACAGTGGGGTGGGAGGAGGTATTGTTTCATGATCTCTGTGTGTATATAAAGTCTGCTGCAGTTTCCACGGTATACATCTGATGAAGTGAGCTGTAGCTCACGAAAGCTCATGCTCAAATGAATTGGTTAGTCTCTAAGGTGCTACAAGTACTCCTTTTCTATGTATATAAATCTCCCCACTGTATTTTCCACTGCATGCATCCGATGAAGTGAGCTGTAGCTCACAAAAGCTTATGCTCAAATAAATTTGTTAGTCTCTAAGATGCCACAAGTACTCCTTTCTTACCAAACTGTGCTATAACCCAGTAATATCTGAATTAAGTGGGCACTCTAATATATTAATTTTCACAGTGTAGAGGGCAACAAATTTATTTGAGCATAAGCTTTCGTGAGCTACAGCTCAAAGCTTATGCTCAAATAAATTTGTTAGTCTCTAAGGTGCCACAAATACTCCTTTTCTTTTTGCGAATACAGACTAACACGGCTGCTACTCTGAAACCTGTCATTATGTAAATGTTTTCTTTCTGCTGGGCACCATCATTCCCTAATGGTAAGCCATTTATGAAAAGTAATTACAGAAGAAGAGTGACTATTATGACAATAGAAAAGTCAAAAGGACCTGTTCTGCTCTGCTAAGTGCTTCAGCCTAAGGGCTCTTTAACCCATAAACTACTGCTTAAAATCAGATTTTAGTACACAAAAGAATCAGGGTAAATAAAGTCCTGTTCAGTACCACAGCTACAAAATTAGCTCCTTCTTTTCAGTTTCTCTAAAACTATCCAAGTTGATTCACAAAGATCAATATTTTTTCACTGTATGTACAGTATCACTCAGATTACATGGGTAGAGAGTTTTACTTTCAGTTCCTTCTCCATAGAAAGATTTCATTAGAACTTTCAAATCCCATTAAGTGCTTTAAGTACCTGATCTAATGCTCACTGACTTCCCTAAGTCAGGGATGTATAACAGGTATAAAGAACAGTCTAGAAAAGTAGACAACCCTGTTCCATGCATTTATGCAAACACAAGATGTGCCCAACATTTGCATCAATGAGAGTCTTTAAATTACAATAATATTGCACAGGTTTTAAAAAGCCCTCTCTCTTCCTTTGATGAGTTTTTCAGTATAAGTGAATGATCTAGCACGGGATTACTGAGACACATATTGCAAC